AGAAGCTCCGAGTCGCTCCATTGCATCGAAGCACAGAGCTTCGGATATGAAGCACTTCACCAGACAGACATCTCAGATGAAGTTTGTCTCTGCTCAACATCCCGTCGCTGTGGACCAGAACAAAGCTTTAGACAGAAACTGCCTTTCACGTTCAATTCTTTTTCATTATTTCCTTTTCCGGCCCGGACCTCCGTCTGATGAGGACAAAGTGAATGAATTTGCTCATAATTTAAACAAAGGTCTGAGATGTGATCCCGTGACTGAGCAGGCACAGCACGAGGAGCCATGAAGGGAACATCTGCATCTCCATTCGTTCCCTGAGCAGAGGACATTTTTAGGAAAAGACCCCCGCGGGTTCACAGATGTTGGCAGATTCTCACAGTGGCAGACGTGTGAAAAGCGTCCGTGTGCGAGGTGTTGTTCTCCTGAAAGGAAGTTCTACCCTCTGGGGAACGCGCAGCACAGCGGACGTGCGTGTAAAAGCGTGTGGAGCTGCTCCTGACGAGGTGGGAGGCGAGAGACGGGAAGTAAAACAGGAGGACGGGACGAGAGACAAAGTGGGAGGAAATCAAATGAAAGCATCACCTGGAACCTTTGTGCAAAACGTATCGATTTACGGAGAGATTTTGTAGTTTAATTGAATTAATTATTTTAGAGCCTTTTTAGTTCCATGTTTTTTGTTAATGTTCCATTAATCAGTGGACTTGATTTGACGGCCTGACGCATTTTCTCATGTTTTTTTATTATTTGTGTTCTTCCCTGCAGCTTCCATGTCTTGCAACCTTCCTCCCCCCTTCCGGTCTTCCTCCCCCTCCTCGCGCTCCGTCTCGACCCGGAGAGGACATTGGGTCCTTTGGGGTTCTTGCCGGTTTAAGCGAGGTGCTTCCTCCCCGCTGGCATCTTAATGGGCTTCTCAGTCGCTCGCTAACCTTTTGTCTCCTACCCATCACTTGTCTTTCTTCCCTCTTCATTGTCCCACTTTGCTCTTTCTCTTCTTCCTCTCCATCTCACTATTGTCAGTAAATCCCTTTTCTCTATTAAATTCCTTTCAACTCCATTTCCTGCCTCCTCACATCCTCTTTCCTCCCTCTTGGTATTTTAAACAATGGCTGCTGACATTTCTGGCCGATGCCGCCTCCTCCTCCCTCTTGGCCTTAATGTTTCCTTCTTTGCTTCTTTTCTTTTCCCTTTATTTCGGTCCATCTCGGACTCCACGTCTGTCTCTTTCCCACTCATCCGTCTCTCCCGCCTCGCAGGAGGAGGACCATTGTCTGTCCCTCTGGACTCATTCACGACTCAAATCCTTCTGCTTGATTCCGAATGTCCTCGGCGCGTCGCTCCCGTGGCGGCGTGTTCTTTTCCCTTTTCTCGCTCCTCCGCTGAGACTCCTTAGAGAGACCGTCCCGGCACATTAACACCGCGGACCTTTTGCCAAACGCTCCGGCTGGACCGGTGGCACAGAATAAATCTCGCCTCCCTCCTTGTCAAAAGCTCTGCTTTTGCCACCTCTGCCATGTGGCCTTCGCGGCGGGTGTTTGGGGAGCAGCGGTGCGAAGTGGGGCAGAGTGTGTCTGCAGGCGGCGAACAAATTCTCCTTTTTTAACCCTTTTAAATCACAACCTATCGTTCAGCTGAAAACCATTCTGTCAGTCTGTGAAAGGTCTGCACATGCTGTGCTACCTTTAGATGGTCCCATGAGATCCGTCCGTCTCACTGGAGACGACGTCACAGGACAGAACTCTGAAAGTTGAGTCAAGTAAACTTCCACAGACTTCAGTCATTGAACCTCCACCGTCTCCATGTGTGGCGAATGATCCCAGTGGATAGCCTTATCCTTCCTACACCCCCCCTTCCATGGCTTATCTTCCCCACAGGGAGAGCAGGGATTAACACGACTTGGAGAGAAGGAGGTGCAGTGGTTGAAGAGGAGGGTGGAGGGGGGTGGAGGGGGTTGGAGGGTGGGGGCTTTAACACCTTGTAAATTCTACACTCTTATCTGGTTTCCAGCTTTGTATCAGATTTAGCGTTTTCCTCGTGTTTGATTTATACTGATGGCAACTCGCTCAAAGGGGAGAGAGGAAATTGGACCCCCGACCTGCCCCCCAGGGCTAAAACAGTGTTCTACTGGCCGACTCTGGACTATTCTTACTTCTTCTTACGACCAGTGTAAATAAAACCTCCAATATTACATATTATCTACTCATATCTGTAGATTTGTCTTCACATTGACAAGAAATCATTTTAATGTAAGTGATGAACTGGAGTAGTTGAACATGCCGTCTATTTTTATATTATAGGTATTTCAGTCATAAGAGGGAAAGTTTTGATGGAGGATTAAAAAGTTGAGAGAGGAAAGTGTAGGAGGTGAAAAGGAAACGTATGAAAAGGAAATTAGGACGTCGACGTTTCTTAGTGAAGCAAAAACTAAAGCTTTTCCTTTTCTCCCCCAGAGCTCTAACAATGCTCCTACCAATACAAAGGGCCCTCGTGACGGGTCCAAGAACTAAGTGCTCTCAAGTGAGAGGGCTTCCATGCAGCTGCTCGTCAGTCAGTTGAAGCGAAGCGTCATTGGATCCAGTCGGCCGACCATCAGATGCTCTAGAAGATTCTCTTCTGTTGGCGAACATCGTATCCAATCAAAGGCTCAAGGATATGTTCACTCCACGATACGCGAGGCCCAAAGGAATGAAAGATGCCCCTCATGTGACACAGCAAAACACCCTGTGGGCTGAACGCGGGGACCTCACCGACCTCACCGACGCCTGGTGGACGGACACCAGGTTCTGATCGAACCTGCGGTCCTGAGCCGTCACGTCTGATATTCACAGGCTGAACTCTCCTCTGTAGAAGTTGACATGGACTTGACAGAATTTTCACTTTCCTGATCAATTATAGCTTCACGTGTGAAACGACATTATCAGGGGAGGCCGATAACCAGGAACCCCGAACTGTGCACGATTCCCGATTAAGATCAATAATCACCAACCAACAGGTTGTCCTCTGAAAGGTCCATTTAATTGTGTGATTCTCTTATTGTGCATCAATGGTGTGAAGTTAGTACGAACGACTTGTTGCCTCGACAACACCTTCCTCCATAGGAAAAACAAACAAGGTTTTTTACATGTTTGTGATGCGAAAGTGGGTTATAGATATAGTTGAGCCCCGGCCTCCACTGTCAGGAACCCAGAAGCTTCCGAGGGGTGAGACCATCGGGGTCTACAGAGGCCCGAGGAAAGAAAGCCTTTTTTAACAGCGTTTCTTGTGATAATTGTCATCGTTTCGGACGTATTAGTTTTAACTGAGACATTCACACACACACATCTCCAATGCCCGTTGCACTCGTACCTGAGCAAAGCGGATGGGCAGTAATACATTGTGTGCTGCACAACTGAATCTAATTGATTAGGACTTTTGGACGCTCAAACAGCAGCAACAAAGCGATGGAGACAGAACAAAGTGCATTGCTTACCTCGTACCACACGACATGCGGGATGTAAATAAATAAATAACTGACCCGGATCTCACTAACCCACAACACGCCGACATCCGCGTCCACCCGCGGAGCCATCGACAGCGGACGCAGCTCGCTAGCAGGCGGCGCACCGGAGGCCTGCGCCACTTCAAACGGCCGCCTGCTAACGGCTAAGAATAGAAAGCAATCTGCAACCCGGCCTAATGAGCACCGACCCACTCGAGACACAACAGCCACCACGCGTGTGTGTGCGCGTGTGGAAATAACGCTGACCGTCGAGTTTTTCGTCTCGGTTCCCGTTAGCATTCTGCTTTCCCTCCGCTACTTAACGTGGACATTAAGAAGAAGCGGCACAAGGTCTCTTTGTCTCTCTGACGGACACACCGCCACATCTGTCCCCCGTGGGAGGCGGACGCAACAGGAGGCCTGTCAGTCCGGGTGACAAATGCTGTCACCGCTTCAAGGGGAAAGAAAATGATAGAGATCAACGTACGAAGAGGCTCACCCTGAACGGCCACATGTCTATTATTGACAGGCGCCATTACGCCTCATTTCTATTCCCACTTCTGACATTTAGAGTGACAATCTGGGAGAGTTCTGCTTCCTTTGATTGTGGTCACATTTCACCAAGGGGCAATAGATCACCTGTCAATCAAATACCATCACTTCCATTTTTCATTTTTCGACGCTGCGTTGGTCATTCTGCTTCTAACCGGCGTGAAATACCTGAGCGACCTCTGAGGCTCCATCGGATGGCGCTTACTGGCTCGGCCGCTCTCTGGACTTCCCCCCCCCCCGGCAGCCCGGCGCATGACACACTCAGTTCTGAGTCAAACGTCTCAACCGTTACTGGATGGACGGCCGTGCAGATTGGTACAGACGTTCATGTTCCTCGCAGCATCAATTTGAATTCTTTTCATCTCTCTATCAAAAAGTCAAAAATTCATCCTGTTAAACGTCATATCTGCAAATGCTCACTGGCCTCAGCTGTACTTTGTTGATTCAGAGCAGACACAAAGTCAAATTAAATGGCTTTGACATTGCTTTAAATCAATGAAGACAATGAAATGAAGAAGAAAATGAAGGTGCTAAGCGTTAACGTGATAATGATGTCTAGGAAACCGTTGCATACTCGACTTGTCTAAATATCGTACAAGCTCCCTGGAGGACTTCAGCAAAGAGCAGCAGTGTTCCATCCCGTAGAACAATCATCATATTTGACCCCGATACGCAGCCTCTCCGGCCTACAAGGACTCGCTCGTGTTGCTGCTTCAATGGTTCTGAGCCTTCAGCCTTCAACTGGATGCAGTTCCACCGAGTTGGACGTCGCCGACGGAGGCTTAAAGGTGCCTTTCTGACTGAGCGTCAGTACTTGAAGAGGGCCGCTTGGTGGACAAGCTGCAGTCCTGACAGGTGTGTGTGTGTGTGTGTGTGTGTGTGTGTGTGTGTGCGTGCGTATTGCAGGTGTGTGTCCTATTCATGCTGCGGACTGTGGCTCCATACAACACACAACAATGGGAATAATTACCTGGAGTTTAATGTCCTCAGATCGTCTGCCGGTCGATGGAAGTCTGCAATAAACAGAAAGGCAGCTGAATGAACCGTCATTGTTGTCATCTCACAGAAAAGGTGTGTGTGGTGGTGGGGGGGGGGGGTCTTTGCCTGACACCAAACGGTGAGTGGAGGATAACTAGAGGAGTTTCCCTGATTGGTGCATTTGTCTTCATCAAAGAGCACAAAGTAGGATCCGATGCAGACGGGCAGGCTTCACATGGAGGAACAAACACTGAGACACCTCGACCTCGCGGCATAAAGACCACGTCTCTGTGGGACATCAGTTGTTCTGTTTGTTTTTTGGGATGGAAGGAGGATGAAATGTGTCAGACGTGTGAGTGGAAGGCGTCGGTGTCCAGGCCGCTGATTCCACAGCTGGTCCAACACTGGTGAAGCGGGAACCCACATGTGGGGACCAAAGACCGGTGGTGTGGTGGTCTATGTCAGTCCACAAACAGGACAAACCACGGAGAGCTGTAGTTTGCGTCTATAATACTGAGGTAACATTGTTTTTATATGTCTTCTTCTTGCTATACTGTTGCTAGGACAACCGCTTTGGTCCAGTTCGACTACAAGTACAAGTACAAGTTAGCTGCTCTCTGGTTTGGTCTGAACACTTTAAACGAAAACTGAAGGCTGTATTTCTTTTTCCTGAGAGCAGCTCTGTCTCCTTCAACATCCCAAGAGAACCAAAGTGCTCCGATCCACACAGAAAGAGAGAAATGCAACAAAATCACCTTTTTGCCGTGTGAGAAAACTACTTGTTTGGGTTTAATTACACGTTTGGAACACAAACACAAATGCCATGAAAGCCGCCTCCTGCTGTTCACTTAAAGAACCCGTAGAAACACATTTGTGCGACGTGAAACGCAAACGTGAGTCAGTGTGCGTGTGATTGAGGTTTGTTGACAAAGGAGATAAAAGCTTCACCCATCTGCATCCAGCTGTGAGGATTACCAGCAGAATCCTTTCTTCCTGTGATTTTATCTACTGTAAATTCATCAGTCATTAAAGGCATAACAGACGCCAATGGGAGGGGGGGGTGTGGGGGGACGAGCAGTCAATCAACCACACCACGGTCAGTGGGACAGAGTGGGAGAAAAGGCTCAGTTCATTTGTCTTCACTGGGCCACTTGAGCAAAACACACGACGAATGGGGAGGAACACACACACACACACACACACACACACACACACACACACGGACCTATTACTGTTCTAGCTGCTGAAGTACTGCTCACATTGGCAGATGATCTATTGAAATAACAGCCATTTCATTTTGACCTTGATAAAGTCGCTTGAGTGAGACTCATCATGATTTTAGTTGTTAGTGAGAGTGTGTGTGTGTGTGTGTGTGTGTGTGTGTGTGTGTGTGTTTCTTCGCTTATCCTAGAAAGGACGCCGTTTTTGTGAAAGCAAGGACATTTTGAGGACATCTTGAAACACCTCCTTGCAGCACTGTTGCGTTGAGCTGTGTCGACTTGGCGTGCAGGAAAACAAAACGCTTCAGCTTGATGTTGTAAAATATGTAACATTTGTTTTGGCATTTATTCTGTGTACGTATCAAAGTAGAGACATCTAATTGCTGGCTGTGACTCAGACTTCAGTGCCAGTAAATCCAAACCTACGTGTTTCCATCTCCTGCATGAAACGCTCTCCTGTGGCCTCGGGAGCATTTATGTGAGTTTTGTGAGGAACAACGCTTCAAGTAAACCGAGGAGAAGTAGTTTCACTGTGTTTCAAAACCAAAGAACGAACAACTGTTTCTTGCGGGGACACACCCGACTCTCGCGCCGCAGCCGCCGCTTTTTGGAAGGCGCCTGCGGCCGAATGAAGGACGATTTCTCCAGCAGGAGCGGAAAGACGCGAGTGCGGCAGTGAGACGGGGGCGGAGGGGGAGTAACTCATCCCAGTAAGGCGAAGCTTTAGATCATAGACTGTTAACCACAGTCCACTTCACGCCCTACTGCTCCCTCACACACTCACACTCCAGGTACTGCTGCCCCCTGAGTCCTTTCAACAGCATCCCACCGCCTATAAAAGACGGGGGAAAATGACAGCTCCAAAGAGGGATGCACTGCAGTTAAGCTGACATGCTTTAAAGTTTTCATTTCTTTCTTTTCAAAGTCTTTGGGAAGGACGAGTTAGTGAGGCTTCATTCGTGTGCTCTTATAAGAGGATGAGTGTAGCCAGAATATACAAGGACCTCGTCTCAGAGCAGACAAACTACTGGAAGCTGAGGTACATAAATGACAAGAAGTAAGAAGTAAGAACAGGAGAAATGAAGGAAAAGAGAGCGCTGACGTGTAGACCGATGGTTCCACTAAGGATGGTGTGGAAGGTGTCAATCAAACCCTGGTGAGGACCAAACAACCGGACCACGGGGGTCTCTTCTACTTCCAAGCAGACTCGTAGGCAAAAACTAATGTTTTTCTTTATTTGGTCTCCCAGAGAAAAGCAACACACATCTAATTCATTGCAGGGTTGTTTCAATACTTAACTTAGTTTTTTAAAAGTCATCCAGCGCCTGAATCTTGAAGGGATTTTGCGTTTTATTGCCTTATCAACGTGGATGTTTGTCCCTTAATGCAGACAGAGCTTCAACAATTGTATATGCATGAAACAGATTGTATCTTCGTTGATGTCAATACTCTAGTAGACTCTAATTATGTTAATCGCCAACCTGTTTTGAAACCAAGTTGGGTTTTCAGCTAATTTAACAGGACCACTTTAGTCCATTATTGATCTCCAGCACGGTGTAAAATGTGACAATTACAAGCCGATTAAAGCTGTTAATTGATTCATCAAACATGTGGTTAATCACCTTTGTAACTGAAATGAGCTCCCAAATGTGTTATGATTGATTAGCAAATCAAATGTCAAAAGTTTAACAATTCAAAGAGCAACCTGAAAAAGAGAAAAGCATTTGGGATTATTAAAGTCAGAGCAGAGCTGCTGTCAAGGTAAAAGGCTGGTCTGTTGGTAGGACGCAAAATCGCAAAACAAAATTGGAGATCGGAGATGGTCCTGACTCTATCCCCCACAGCTCCACCAACCTGCCCCAGACCCCCACCGCTCACGCCTCTGTATCACATTCCCCTCCCCCACCAGCAACGACCCTGTCTATTCTGGAGAGAGACGTTAACCGGCTCTTTAAAAACCCCAAAAGGCAGCCGGCCCGGACACCGTCTCCCCTCACTCCCTGAAGCATTGTGCTGACCAGCTGTCTCCGGTGTTCACTGACATCTTCAACACCTCCCTGGAGACATGCCACGTACCAGCCTGCTTCAAGGCCTCCACCATCATCCCTGTCCCCAAGAAGCCCAGGATCACAGGACTCAATGACTACAGGCCCGTCGCCCTGACCTCTGTAGTCATGAAGTCTTTTGAACGGCTAGTCCTGTCCCACCTGAAGTCCCTCACCGACCCCCTCCTGGACCCCCTGCAGTTCGCCTACAGAGCCAACAGGTCTGTGGACGACGCTGTCAACATGGCCCTCCACTACATCCTCCAGCATCTGGACTCCCCAGGAACCTACGCCAGGATCCTGTTTGTGGACTTCAGCTTTGCCTTCAACACCATCATCCCGTCTCCGGTGCAGGACAAACTCTCCCAGCTGCACCGCCCGACTCCACCTGCAAGTGGATCACTGACCATCTGTCTGACAGGAAGCAGCATGTGAAGCTGGGGAAACATGTCTCAGCCTCTCGGACCATCAGCACCGGTTCCCCCCAAGGCTGCGTTCTTTCCCCTCTGCTCTTCTCCCTGTACACCAACAGCTGCACCTCCCTTCCATTTGGCAGGAGGCTACTGTCTGATTCTATGCACCAACCGCCAAGTCAAATTCCTTATATGTCTTACATATGTTGGTAATAAATGTTCCTGATTTCTGATTCCTGAAGAAGATTCTGACACAGAGGCACCAATGCAAATATCTGGAGAAAGCAACAAGTCTGGGATTCACGATTTGCTGAAGAACTTTTCAGTTCAGATTTTAAATTGGCTACGAGGTAGAGGTTCTGCCTCCTGAAGAGTCGCCCCTTGGTGGTCACTTGCGGTAATGCAGCTTTAAGACACTTTAAGACACCACAGCGGCTTCACTCGGCCCAACTAATGCCTACCGGTTGTCTCATACATATACACACATATCTCACTTTGACCCTCATCATCTCCAAGAAGGTTGCTTTTGGGCCCTCGGGTTGAAATGAATGTGTTCATTAGCACCTAGTTATCCCACAAAATCAGTCATATGTTTTTCTGAGACATTTATCAGGAAGTATAAAACTACAAAATAAAACACTACAAGGTGGATGGGTTGAACAGGAAAAAATCAGATCAGTATCTGACACCCAAAGACGGTTCTCATGTAACGTATCTGTAAGTAAGAGGAATCAGGAAAACTTGAACCATTGAAAAGCAGCATGTGTGTAAGTGAAAATTTTTCGCAATGTAACCCTCAAAAAGCTTTCGAAAGCTTCAAAACACTCCTTCAGAGTTTGCCGAGCGTTTGATAAAAGAAAGGCCGACTGACTTTGCCGTAAACAAGCGGGTTCTGGGACAGCTGGAAGCCCCCCCGCCGCGGCAAAACATCACATGGACACACCAAGATGACTCCGACTGTGTCAAACTGATAAACTCGCGAGCCCCCCACTGAGCTGTGGGTTTATTTCATCCTTCACTGAGCCATCAACACACCCACATATGTGGGTCCCTTCACTTCCTCCAATATTCTTCTCCAAAATCGCTAATCCAAACTCGCTAACGTTAGCAGCACCACTAACGTTAGCAGCTCTCCTCACTCGGTTAGTTGTTCACAGTGTGAGATTTCCGAGGATTGGGGAATAGAAACAATGACTGCATCGGTAAATACCACGTTAAAGCGTGTATGGGGGGGTTGTTACGTGTTCTGAGCAGGAGCTGGTAGCGGTAGCATAGCAACAGCTGTGAGCACAACGGAGTTTCCATGTGGACACACAGCTTCTTAAGCTCCCTTTCTATCTGGGAGCCTCACATCTTA